TTTACAAGTTTAGCTTTTAAATAATCCGCAGAATTTTTGATCAAAAAGTAAAGATATAAATATGATACAATTAGAAAACGCTCCGATATTAGAAAAAATAAAAGAAGTTACAATACTATTTTGTGTTTATAATACCAACATTCTTAATTGTATTAGAAATATAATATTTTTAATTACTTGTATATTTATAAACAAACAAGTCGTAACCAAATATATCCAAGATTAATACACAGCCTTGCTTTACATTCATGTAATAATAATTAATTAAAATGTACAACGAGATACTCGTGACGTAAACGATGTACTTAAACGATACATTGGTCAAACAACACGCAAAGTTGAATCGTACGTGTCCTAACCGCGGTCACATGACGCATGCGCGTCGGTTGCATTCGCATTGGTAACGAGTGCATCGCCGAAGTGCGGCTAAAAGGGCGCATAATAATTTCATTGTCCGGCGCTCGAGTTTGCAACTTTTTCAGGTTAAATACCGAGAGAGGGCTTCATCCGCTCGATTTCACGCAGTGGCGACGCGTTTTACAACCCGCGAAACAATCCGCATGCAGTAAGTTCGGTCGCGGTAGTGACCGCATGACGCATAACGCGTCAGCCGCAGCTGCGGCGGGTGCAGCGGGATGGGCAAACGTAGCGAAAAAGGCACTTCGACAACGATGCGGGGTCGTGCAATAATTCTCTCATTCAACAGCGGGGTGAGCTCAAATGTGTTTGTTCTGGTCGGGCTCTAATTTTCATGACGAGCTCGACGTTGAAACGAATTACGCCAAGTTGAATGTAGCTCGTCACATTCGTTTCGTTTGCCCGTATAGCTACAACTTTCATTTTAAGATAGATCCTAGAGATGCGAGAAGAAGAGATCCCAAAGAGAGATCTAATCTTTCATTTGTGCAAAATATAGTAAGTAATCTTCTAATTTTAGTAATAATCAATATTTAATATTTCAACTGTAAATACCGAGATAAAAACACTTGCCATAAAATCAGTATATACATGTATATATACACAATTGGAAAATTTGTGTTGAATTTAGCACATTTTACACTATTGAATGTCAAATTACATTCAATTAATGTTTTTCTTTAACACGAAATATTCAAATAACAGAATTACACTATATTAAATTAATGGTTGGATATGTTAAAAATTCAACACAGAGAGAGAGAGAGAGAGAGAGAGAGAGAGAGAGAGAGAGGAATTGTAACAAAGACAAATTTTAATACAAAAATTATGTTTTGTCTTGTGTACAGTGAGTGCAAAAAGTATTCGTACAGACAAAACGTTTTTAAAAAAAATTTTTATTTTTAAAAAATGAATATTATTCAGCGAAAAATCGATTCAACGTTTAATTGACGATCATTTCTTGTTGGGTAATTAACAATTTATTCACAAAGAATAAAATAGTATGCTTCTTAAAATTATATATACCAAAAAGATGTGTATTAATTATAGAAAATATATCATCTAAAATATATCATCTAAAAAATAAGCGAAAATTAAAAATGGTATTGTTTGGATCCTCAAAAACTATTTATACAGTCGAGAAATTTAGCTTCTAAAATCAGGAATACATGTGGAGCTCGTTTGTTTATGTTAGAACAGAATGTATTCATTGTATAAAATTGCTAATTAATGTTTATTTTCTATAAACAAGACTTTTTTATAACAAATTTCCTTATACGAATACTTTTTGCTCACTGTAGGTACATATATATATATATATAATGTATTTATATATTTTATGTACATGTGTATATTTATATGTACACACACGCGCACACACACACACACACACACACACACACATATTGTAAAAATAAACAGATATACTTGAAATAATATCAATTAATACTCCACTATACTTCGAGGAAAATTGCAAACTCCTCGATCACGCTCAAAGAACTTCGACGACCAACTCGAAAGCTGCGTACTCGGCACAGGCAGCGGCGATCGAGAGTTCCAGAGGGCGAGGCGATAAAGCCTGAAAGGACTCTCGAGAGAGTTCCAGCGCAACCGCGAGTCCGAAGATTTACACGAATGCAACGAGCAAAGAAAGAGACAGAGAGAATCCTCTCGCTTTCCGGTGCTTCGAACTTGACGAAGCGCATCCGCCGTGGATGAGTCACAGTGAAACACAGTCGAAACATCTACGTATATATGTACAACGCGATTCTCGAAACTCACCGCTCCCGAGAGAGGCAACGTCTTCCTGGCGTTCGAGCGGTGACCGCATATATTGGGATCCAGGGCGCGTTTAAAGGGACCGAAGGCGAACTCTCCAACGAATCTCTCTCCCGCGAAGAGATCTCACCTCTGTCTTGGGATGTCTCTAAGTTGCCCAACTTCGAACGACTTCGCTGTTACGAATATATCTCGAAGGATGGCGTAAATTAAAAGCGTAAAATAAAATAAAATTTTATTACGTGAAACTTAACTCCGAGATAATTCGATATGCAAACGACGTTATGAATTATTTTATAGACGATACAAGAGCTTGCGACAGACGAGCTCACTGGGAAGAGGCGACTCGCTTAGATGAATCGATGGCAGTAGCGTTTTGATCGAAACACACGTCGCGCCCGGTGTTCACTTCTATCTCATACCTGGTTAATCGAGCATGTCGATGACGCCGTATATCGATTACCTGCCGTTTACGGTGTTATCGAAACGCGCTTAATTAACGGAGAACAAACTGCAGCGAGAATAACGACGCGAGCCGAGCGTTAATCGCGATGTGAGGAGCAAAAACAGGCAGCTGAGAAATTGCCTTCGTGTTATAAATCTTTTTCTTGCCTCCTCTTTCTCAGCCCTCTGCCATTTTTATCAAGAATACGCTGGCACAACGATATTTTATCCTACTTTTGAGAAGCTTTCTGTCTCCACATCCGGACAGAAAAAAAAAAGTTTAAATCCCCCCGGCACGTAATACATGTTTTTACGTAGTTAACTTATATGTATACACATATTGCAGATGTAAGATTAAATTCATTTTCATTTTTATCTCCAGTAATTTCCAAACATTTCCATTAAACGTCAATGTACCTTTCTTCATTCAGATAATTCAAGATAAGATACGAATTTGATTACGAACAGCTGATCAAAATAATACTTAGGACTTCGATATAGTTTTTGAACTAATTGTGATATCGAAAGGAATGGAATTGAAGCTCTTGTTGACTCTGTCCTCTGGACCGAATTCGCAGGATTAACGGAAATTTTTAGAGGCGACCTTGCTCGACGATGCGAAACGGCTCTCTAACCACCGCAGAACATGGCGCCGCGCCGCGCCGTTCGAAGTCGGTATCGGCCAACGTAGCGAGTTAAATCGAGGCACTCCTCTCGTGTGCCCTCCGTAATCCCGCCGCATCCTTGACCTCCGCCGCCATCGTTTCCACGCACGCAGTAATTTACCGCGAAACACGCGCGTCGTTACTCAGCCGTCGCTTTGTTCTCGGATTTTCTGCAAGTAGACGTCTGTCCGAGATGATTTTTTTTGTTCGAGGATCCTTTACGTAATGATCGGTAATGACGGTTGGACATGTACCAACTAATGACTTCAATAAAGGAATGCCTATATGTTACTTATGTCTGTACTGTTTATTAAAAAATTTGTCCTCGTATCATTGAATCTTTCATATCGTCAAATAAGAAACTTTGGATTCATTATAATCGATGCTCCATATTATTTCAAATATTGAACAATAATCTAAGCTTAAAATACATCTACATGTCAAATATATATCAATATAAAAAAATAATATTTAAATTAGCGCATCTCGCAGGCGCGTAACGATGCGCTGAAAGAAAGATAGATGTATAAAACTAGGTATAGGCTTATTTAGATGAAGGTATAATGATTGCCGTAACATAATGTCCAAGGAACGAAGAATGAAGGGAACGAAGGAAGAAGACAGCGAAAGGGGGCAGCAACAGCTTGCGCGAGCAGGAGACAAGAGGGGAGTGGTGTAATAACTCTGTCCGTGAAAGCCTCGTCGTGAGTTCATTAGTTCCGTACCGACGCGCCACAATGCTGGTTTAGTCCGCGGTTAGGACTTTCCTCGGAAATGCTGCGGCGCCAGCAAATTCAGCGAATTTACCCACGGATTCCGTGTCGAAGCGTTTACATCACGCTAGAATATTATGCATATATTATATACCCTACCTCTTCCATCGAATGTGTTGATAAACTGAATTTACATTTAGCCATTTTTAAAAGAAAAGAACAGATTTTTTAATACACGAGCCGAATTTACTTTACTGTTATGATACTTGGAATTAATTCTCATAGTATTACGGAAAACTTCTAAAATTTAGTTTGGATTTTTAAATCTCATAAAAGATGAACTTATAAAAAATGAATATGTACTTTAAAAAATGCATCACATGTTTTTTAAAAGAGAAAAAGGCATAATATTTTTTCTGTTAAATGAAACGAAAATAACCTAAAATTAAATTTTTCGAAATTCATTAAAAATATAAAAAAATTTTAAATATTTGTGGTTAAATATTTCCATAATATTTCAAACAGAAATTGAAGATATATAATTCATCGCAAAGGAAAAGGGATAAAATATATTTTATCTTAAACTCTTTTCACATCGGAGAAATAATCCGAATACAAAATTTGTTGGAGATAGAAATCTCTGCACAAGCTAACCAACATATAAACCGCAAATATGCAGCCATGCGAACAGATTAAATATTACAACAACATAATCCTATCAGTAAATGCGCACTCCTATCCTCCAGGATTTTCGCACATACGGAAATTTTCCGGAAGCGGAAACCGATGTGGACGCGGCTGCAACAGACATCACAGGCTGTATGCGAGTGGCTCGACCGCGCGCATGTAATCGCTACATTCGATTCACCACGAGTTGCAGCTGTACAGTGCGGCGGCGTGCGTGCAGTTGCATGCAAATTACTGCATGCGTGTCGTGTATAGCCGAAAGTAGCTAAAAAATGCATCGCACTTTCTGTTGCAGAGAGGTACGACACCGCATACGCTTGCGAGGGCAAGACGCTGGAGATCGAGTGCGGCGAGGGAAAACTGATCCACCTGATACGGGCGAACTATGGCAGGTTCTCCATCACGATATGCAACGAGCACGGGAACACCGAGTGGAGCGTCAACTGCATGTCGCCCAAATCGTTCCGCGTGCTGAACAACGAGTAAGTACTGCACGCGCCGTGTCTGTATACATATCTTTTTTTGTGATTGACTTTGATCTATTTGTCGTGAGCACCCGTCCCTTTAATCTCCAGTTCCCCGGGAAATGCCGTGAGCAGAACTGAATAGTTTCATAAATGATAAATGCATACACATGCAACTGAAAATGAAGTTACTAAAAATGCTAAAAATTGAAAGATCTTGAATAAAAAAACATGTAATAAAAACTATTCCTTCGATCGTCATATCAGTCTTCTCAATGAGAAATACTTTCTTTTGTTTGTATTTACGTATTTCAGTGCCTGATCATATTCTTTGACGATCAGAAAAATTACGTTTAAAACGTAAAAGGAAAAATTATTTGTTCACAGTTGATGTAAAATCCATAATAAAGGAGTTATTGCAAGTAATTATTGGAATTTAATTAATTTTCTCACGGGCAAATACAATTCTCAACAAAGTGAATGTTCAATGAAGCGAAAAACAGAACTAACTTTTACATTCTTACAATCGCGAAAGGATAATTACCAGGAAAGATAATTATCACAATTCTTGCTGAAGCAACGAACCATATTAATTGATCTCAATTATTTTTTAATGAAGTATTATATGCATATGGAACTATACGTTATGGGAAAGAAACATTTGAAAAAGAAATTGGCGAGAGAGAGAGAGAGAGAGAGAGAGAGAGAGAGAGCACTTTCAGAATTCGTCATACTAAAAGAATGATACAACTCTAAAAATATTTTTTTATCGATCTTATTTTGCATAATATATACAAGATCTTATTGTATATTGATCATTGCGAACATATATTTTGTAATAAAATAATGTTCAATTCTGCTCGCGTGGCGCCAGTAGATCCCTCATAAATATTCAAAAAATGAAGAACAATGCACAATACTCAATTAAAAGAGATACAACTGATACTAGATCAGACTTATCACTTTAATAGTTATCCTATGACTCGTCGTTTCTCTGATCGCTGAAAGTTTCATGGAGTTTTGATATTTGTGTGATCTACATCAGTAATGAATTAAAGGGTGCGGTCAAATATTCTATTCGTTAAAAATAAATTGAGCATATTTATTTGAGCTATAAAAACTAAGTAGTAAGTTAATATCTTAAAACTAGTTAATAATTAATCGATATATCATTCATAAATATTGAGCCATCGATCGATTTGTTCTTCGTTTTCGGTAAGTTATTCAAAGCGAGGGAATCTAATGAGCGCCATTTCTTTCCATTCCTATCTCACTTTAGCTTTTTCCTTTAAATCAACAAAATGGAGCATATATTAAAAGGGGGGAGTAAAGGGATAAAAAACCGAATGAGGGAAACGAAGTCGGATGCGAACCGCTTCACATGGTCGAGCGAACTGGCCAATTGCTGGACCATTGAAGAACGCGTCTCGCGATGGATCGATTAGGAAGAGTCGCAGTATTTATTAGCGATAACTTCGCTATCACGGTCCTCGCGAGAATCCGTTTCGTGTCCCTCACTATCGTGATCGTAAAGAATATGTATATCCATCGATTTCGGAGGTCAGTCACTTAATTTTGACGTTAAAAGAAAAAATATTGAAAGTGAAAATAAATTTATCAATATTGTAATTATAAAAGTGATAAAAAGTAAAAAACGAAACAATTTCGGTGATCTCCATATGAATATCACTAAGAATGGTGGACGATGAAAGTTAGATGACGAAATTTACCAATATTGTATAACACACACGTGTGCTAGGATCAGGATATTTTTACTCATAATATATTTATGTTTGTAGGGTAAGATGATGTATAGATGGATCGCGAAGAACACACGTGTCCATCTAGTTACGCCACTATTCACACACATTCTCGGACATTTTTATTTTTCAATCTTTGACTGCAATAGATCGTGACTGTTTCACGAAATAGTTATGTTCATTAATTTGATTGTAAACGTTTATGAAAAGCAAGGTTTTCTAATATTGCCTAATTCATGTGTCTATTCTCTTGATAAGATCGAAAGTCTCTTATCTAATAGCGATATATCGCACACAGATGTATCAAATTTAATACAAAATTCAATGTAATTACAATCTAATAGAGCTAATCCTTCTGTGAAGCAGTCATCTATCTAGAGAGTCTAAATAGATCTTATGCATTAAAAATTACTCTCTTCAGACTCCTATATTTTTTAATTTACTTTCATTATGATAAGTCTGCATTCACAAAAACGTTTAACTATTTAATATATACCTCATAATCACAAGGACTTTTTTTATATTTTTAGAGACAAGAATTCGGTTAAATTTGGCGTTACATAATGAAAAAAAATGTGTGAATTCAGACTATCATTTATTATTTAATAAAAGGTGATGTTCAGGTGAAGCATTGATCGAGAACTTATGTATGTACGTGACATGTGCACGATTCGCGAAATAGAAAGAATAAGAGGTAGATAGACAAAGATATTTTCAATAAATTTTATATTTAGCTTTTTTAATTTGGTTATTAATAATTGAGCAAACTAAATGTAATTATAAATTTTGATTAACATCGAAAGATCCAACTCAAAAATAGTTTTGATTAATTACACAAATTAATATTAACGCAATTAATTTGTGTACCTTTCAGGAAAACGATTATTCATGCATCCATTATAATATCACTGAGTAACAAATCTCAATGAATTATATTAGTTAATTAATACAGTTATATACTTTTAGTAGTTGTCGATTTGTATAATCCATATAAAGTAAGATTAATGGTATATTTGTTTCTCTTGCGATTACACACTCATAAAGTAAAATTATGTATTTATGAAAAAAATTTAAACATTTTAAAGTTTTCACATATAACAAATATGCATATTTAAGAGACTGAGATTTTTTTCAATTGAATCGCAGCTTGCAAAAAAGAATCAAATAAGCATAATGTTCTGAAACATTTAATTCATTAATGTATTAAAACAGAACATTGTCCAATTAATTTGTCATTCTATGATTGGAATTTTTATCAATGGAATTTTCATCTTTTTCGTCTTCCTCTTTTTCTCGTATCGTCATAGAAAAATAATTTTTTTTCTGTATAGATAGAATATACTGGGGAGAACAGGATTATACAATCCGACATATTTTTCTCATTAATGATGGGAGTAACGAAAACGGGAGTAACGAAAAATTCGAAACATCCATGTCCAATTTGCGAAGGCTATTGATATTTCGCGATGCTCATTTGCGTCGAAAAGAGATAACCCGATTTCCAGTAAATTTTAATCTTCTCGCAGAATGATTCCACTCTTCCATATATGCATTGATACTGAGGTAAATTATTATTATCGCTGCATACGCCTTTGATGCGCATTCCACTCTTCGTTAAAATAAGCGTTGTATGACCGATCAATGCTTGCGCCCAAGCATCACATCTCTCGTGGAATCATTTGAGAATCAGCGTTCATCATCGACGGATCCTCGAAATCAATGACATAACGTGGCACCTCTCCCTGCATTTGATACCTTAATGTGACAAAGATAATTGCAGAATTATGCATTCTGTCAAGTTGAAAAAATTATTTATGATAATATCTACAATCATAATATGAAAATAATTAATTGATAATAATTCTATGGATTGTTGATTAATTCTCTGATTTTTTAATCAAATATAAAAACTTGATATAATAAGATTCGAAATAATCATTCACTTATTACGTTACGCCATACAATGTTATCTAATAAATATAAAACAGAGAAAAAAAATCTCTTTGAAATCAATATTTCTGAAGTGACGTATAATAAGAGAATTATATATATATATATAATTTTCATATATGTATATACATCCCGTAGGATATCAGATTCTATTATTAATTTACTCTTGATTGCAATATCGTATTCTGCAATTGTCCATACAAAACTTTGTCAATGCAATAATAATCAGAATTAAATTATTACGGGGTTGTGAAAAGCTGATTCGACAATCCGATTGAGCGTATTAAATCGAACTTATGACCAAATAACGGTTTTGTTTACGTTGCTTCGTCCGTTTCGTTTCATGTTTTAGTTATTAACAATTTATGCGGCGCTTTTTTCAATGCAAGGTGTCTGAAATAGGTTTCTACACGTTTTAAGCATGTTCACTCGCATGTACATTTAGTGGGATAAGACGCTTGGGTTACCTGGTATCCCTTAAAATCCTTTTAACACAGTAAGCGACCTTACGGTCGATAATCGTATTAACACATTGTAAGCCGTTTCTAGTAATTACCGGAGTTAACAATTGTCATAAAAATAGTAGCGTTTATGAATAATAAATTCTCATGTATCCCACATTTAGAACATTGAATAAATCGGCTTACATTGTGTTCATCGTAATATCTAATATGTGTGACATATATTTGTATTTATTAGTTATTTAGATTAGAAAAGGAGTTGCTAATCCTGGTTAAGGTTTAAACAAAATGGAGCAAGCATATTTATTAAACGCAAACAGCTAGTATAGCATTAATATAACTATAAGAAATAATATTAATAAATAGCTCTTAATTTATATGTAATTATTATTACATTAATTATTTTATAATTGATAATATTTCTTCTCTCTCCCTCAATTCATGATTTCTTTTTCTCACTGGACGTTTAATTAACATTATTAGTACAACAACTGAATATTGAAAATTTGGGACATTTCAAGGCTTCTCATTCAATTTAACTTTTATGTAATGTCTCAAAGTAATCTTAAACAAATATTAGTAGACATATAACAGTGTAAATTAATTATTGTTTTACCGCTTTTTATTTTAATGAAATTATCAAATATTATTATGGTGGTTGCGGCAATTCGAAAAGTTTAAATCAAGTACTTAAAATTAAGCAATATGTTTTTTCAACCTTTGCAGTTTTCTCACATAATTCATTTATATGTAGATATAAGATTAAATTAATTACGTTATCATCATTAAGCACATGGTCAATTTTTAATTAATATTTATTGATGTTTTTAAATATCGATACTTAATA